TACCACTATGAGTTTTACAGACTTTGTTCCACTCTTAGTACAATAGCTTCTTTGGAACGGTTAAAATGTGCTCGAAAAGTGCAAAGAAGTTTGCTGTTTAAGAGTTTATCATTGAAAAATGATTTACTCTATATTAAATGACAATAACATTTAAGATAGGGCTCCAAAACAGGAACAAATGCATATTTCTGCTTTATTTTCCTCATTAGGTTGCTAGCAAAATGAAAAGAGAAGCGTCAAGATAGAAAGAACGCTTCTCGTTGTTCTTTGCTAGAGACCAAATGAGGAAAACACGCTTGAAATAATAAGAAACTTAACGGGTGACCCATAAAGAATGTCCCTCTCAATATTTTGCTTATAACTTGGTTTGGGCTTTGTTTCCGAGACTCGATGTTTTTTAAAAGATGCGCTGCGAAATTATCTACAAAATCCTACCTAAACTGTAATTTCAGAACTTCAGTCGAGAAAACTAAGCCAATTAGATGAAAGTCGAAAAAATGTAAACTTCCTAAACTCAAAAATGATGTCGTGCATTAACGTTTAGAAAGTAAGAAAAACTGAACTAGCCATTTTGTAGTCCTGACTTCGCTTTATCTTTTAGCTACACTTCAAATTTTTTCACATCAAATGCCGCAGCGAAATAATAGTTTTTCTATCGGACGGCATGCATTTTTTCATTAATTTTCTAAATTTTGGGTATAGTAGTGCTTTCAGTAAAAGCCCCATAACTCCATCAGAATAAAAGCTTTTTCGGTCAGGTTTGCTTTATTTTGATCAGAAATGATTGCTCTTCTCTATCTAACTGCAAAACCAAACTTCAATCATCTTTTCCGTTTCTTGATTGAGCACATTGTTGGAAACGGGGAAGTTGTCAACTTTTGATGTATTTTTCTAACTTCGTTCTCGTGCACACCGTCTGCTGTAAAAAGGTTTTTTACAGACCACGAGAAAGAGCACATTTGAAAGTATCAAACATAAACTGAGTTCTCACTTTTCTTACACTTTTTAGCGGAAATAGTAGCAGAAGAAAAAGTTCAAGTTGAAAAAAATTTTGAGTTTAGAAAGTTTGCATTTTTTTCGACTTTCATCTAATCGGCTTAGTTTTCTTGATTGAAGTTCTAAAATTATAGTTTAAGTAGGATTTTGTAGAGAATTTCGCAGCGCATCTTTTAAAAAAACATCGAGTCTCGGAAACAAAGCCCAAACCAATTTATAAGCAAAATACTGAGAGGGACATTCTTTATGGGTCACCCGTTATATCACATATAAAACCTGTTATGGTTCATCGGATGTCGGTATTTCAAAAGAAAAAGGATATGCTTTTCTTGAAAATGGAAAAACATGGAGCTGTGTACTTAATCAAACGATCTTATTACGATTAGTCTATCAAGCCAAAATCCATCCTTTTAGCTCCATCCTTTTAGCTTTAAAATTTCAGGATATATTCAAGTTGATGTTTTTTGTTAAGTATGTGGATTCGCAGAGGTGAGTGTTGTGCAAAATGTGAATAAAACCTCTGACCTTTCACTACAAGTACAGATATTCATTGATCATACGGCGAATTTTCAATTTAAGAATTCGGCTACTCTTAGGTTTATTGTTGACCCAATAAACTATAAAAACACCCATCTTTCTTAGTACAATGCAAGTTTCTGAAATCCTAAAGTTCACTTACGGAGTAAAATTTCAGCGATTTTACCATCAGTAAGCGATATAACGCCTTTTAAGAGACAATCTGTGACCGCAGCGAGAAAATCGATAAAACCTTCAAAAAATAGAAAAAATTTTAAATAATATTTTCGGATTGTCCTTCGAAAGTTACCTATAAATCCAAGTTTCTAGCCTTTGAAAACTCTTCATCGTTGAGAAAAAAAGTTTTTTAAAAAAGTACCAACAAATTTTCTTCAAAAATTGAAGAACTCCGTATTTCTTGTTGTTTTAATTGCAGCGACATTATCATAGATTTGATTTTCTTAAATTACACATCATTCGAATGAGCGCAAAATACTCAACAAAACCTGATATTGTTCAGGTCTTAAATAAATTTTTCGTTGCCGAAAATTATGATTATTATGACAAAAACTTCCATCGACCTAGAGCAATTTTTAGCACATCTTGTAGAAAATAAAATTCTCTACGAAATACACTATAGTACATTGAAATACAAGTGTTGAAATGGGTGAAAAAATGCTCAACAATGAGTACCATTAGAATTAGTATATTTATGAAAATTGTTTTAAACATGATTTTCATTTGTATAAAGTAAGCATCAAGACATGCTTAGTATTGTGCAGTAAATAAGATTATATGATCGAAAAAATTCAGAAACCATGTTTTGGTTTAAGGGTTTTCTGAAAACTTTTGTGAAATACCAGAGGGTTTTGTAAATTCTTTTTTACAGATTCCTTAGAAACAAAATATAAAATACTCTAAGCACTGTACGGGTCGGGCTTTTGGTCGGACCGGACCGAGCTTGGGCAGCAAAGTATTTTAGTCGAACTCAAAATTTTTAAGCATGCGTGGGTTTGTAATTTATATGTACACTCAGTACAGAGAAAGAGTATTATTATTGTTACGCGACATCTTAATGACTTCGTTTAGCTACAGCCTTTAAAGGTTGAAAAATGAACACCAAGAAATCATAAAGGTATAAATATTAGCTTGGGAAATACATGTACACCACTTAGCCAGCAAACGCATTACAGTTGCAAAAAAAATCACGTGTGGAGCCAGAAAATTTTAAAAAGTAGTCGGGTCGGGCTGGGCCAGAAAAGATTCAGGATTGGTCGGGCCTAGTCAGACAAATTCCACGTTTGATCGAGCCGAGCCGGGCTTGGTCTGGAAACTTTCATAATCGGGTTGGGCCAAAAATTTTCGGCCTGTGCCGATTTCTGATATGTAATGGAACCTGAAAGCAAGTAAATAATCGCCGAACGATTCATTCGTCTGTTTCGATAATTGTGCAATGGAAGAATTAAAAATTAAATGTAAACACAACAAAGCGACTATAATAAACTGTTACGTTTCTGCACAATGATTATAAAATTAATTAACTGGTTTATTCTACCTGAAATATTTACTTATCCTTCTTGTTCACTATCCTTATGTCGTGATAGTCAACAACTCTTACAAAGTCAACTTCACCAGTTGAAGAAGCATGTCAATCACGCAGCGAGAACGATCGGTTCATAATGTTTGTCAACAAGAATATTATAATGAAGAATATCAATGAAGACAATACACTAACGAAAATAAATAAACTTGCCATCATACATGAAGTTTTGGCAGATGAATATTACCAATCTAACATTTAATACTAGAGAAAACGAAAAACAGTTTAAAACCGATTCCAGTGAAACACATAAATGTAATACCAGTTACATTGAATAAATCAGATCAAAGTTCAAACAAAATCAAGTGACTTATCTCTCGCAACACGATAACATTTATTTCACAAACAAATCTTTAAAATATGCGTTTCTAATAATTATATTTGGTGTGAAATCTCGAAAAAGTTTAATAGTACTTTAGTAGTAGTTTTTCTCTGGTGAAATGTCTTGTGACACACAGATAGCGTTAGACATGGTGATATTTATATTTCAGTGTTCTCTAGCTGAAAGCCAACTTGGTATTTGTCTGTTTTTCTAATTATTTGATACAACATTTTGTTTGTTAAGGTTTTATATAATTTGTGTACCCCATTTTTCTATGGACTTTTGTAGTTATTTGTTTTCTTAAAGGTAATCGTGGTGATATGGCAAGTTGGTAGTTTCAAGAACAAACACGCCAGCTATCATAGTCATACATTTGTCACTAGAAAGTGTACTCTCATCTAATAAACTCCTTGCTATCTTTGACGTTTCGAGCATCATTATCAAAACGACACTTAAATAAAAAGCGTTTTGAAAACAATAGTATAATTCCAACTAGAAGACGAAAATAGTTCACTTCAATGCCATAAAGATCCAGTATTGTGACGTGTACACATCCTCGATTAAACTGACTGTCACAATATTTTACACACGCGCTATCAATCCAACTGCTTGTAATAACCCCGATTACCTCACTCTTTTTGAATATATATCCTTTAACTTCAAGTTCAAACCGAATAAAAGGCTCTTCATATGGCAATTGCATCTTTTAGATAATACTCTCATCCAACGTGTTTTCAGCCGTCATAGTTTGTTGATTTTCCTCTTACGGACACGAGGAAACAATAACTTCTGGATTGCTGATAGAACAGATCTAGAAACAAAGATGTATGTCGTCATTATAGAAATATGTCTCGTATCGTCCATTTTTTTGTATTTAATGTCGTTCAAAATACAAAAAGCATTGAGTATATTGATTCATGAGTTAAAATTGGAAACACTAAGACCAGATGAATGACGGTACATGCTACTGATCAGTTTCTGTTTTTTTTGTAAGGAAGTTAGAGAAAACAAACAAATAAAAAACAAGATAAAAGAAACACCTTTGAACAAATATGCGTAACATATACTAAGATCGAAAACAAATCAATTTTTTTATAAAGAAAATCCTCCATGTACTATACTTCAAGAAAACGGCATATAAAACAAAAACAAACAAAATACACCGAGAGAAAAATTCTCATTTCAATCTTAAATTGTTGTTTTTCGTTCACTATTGGTAACTCAGTCGTCTAGTATCAAATAGAATAAAAAGTCACAACGCTATAAAAACGACAGCAAAAATGCAATTTTTATATAAAAGAAAAACAAAAAACAGAGAAACACAAAAAATTTGTTTTGTTTTATTTTGATTTTTTCGTAAATAAAGAGATCGGATAAGATAAAATAGTAGCGTTTGATTTCAAGCCTATAACATAAAAAAAACAACAACAAAAATAGATGAGTACATGTTTAAACATAAAAAAATTCATAGATGTTCAATTGCAAATAATCTAAAATAAATGAATGAAACTTCATGACGAACGACGAATGTACTGAAATTAGGCATACACACCGAAAATAAAATAATTATGTTCTATTGTCAATAATTCCTGGTCTTTTTGGTGCCTGCATGGCATCAACTCCTTGTTGTGCATAAGGTGGTTGTTCAGAAGATGGAAATTGTTGTTGCTGTTGAGCTGTACGACTTTTAAACCATTTTGTTTCTTTATAGACAAACCAAACGTTGCCAGCCCATAAGAGAAAATTCAAAAAGCCGAATATAACCGACACGGTAATGTTTGCATATGAACCACTGCTATATAAACTACAACTTGTTATACAAATTGGGAATCGAGAACTAACGCTTTTGTAATCTGTCTGTGTTACAATATCACTGACGCCTTTTGCCCACGCTAAAAATAGGTCGATATATAGCCATCAATATTAAATTTTTAAAATTATAAATTTGAAGATGAGCATATATGAGAGTATATTCAGAACTATAATCCCCAATGTAATTAATTCATTAAAAGATAATACTAAAAGTGACAACGCCTATAGACTTTTTCGACGTACTCTTTGCTCTCTTGTTGTACAAAGGACTCATAAATAAAAAGTTCGATCACTGATATGATTACATGAGTCTTAAATAAATTTACTGCTAGTATTTCTTGTATATCCCATCGTCTACTCAAACTTACCTGAACTACCAGCAATCCAAAATATGGTCCACAAAACCGTAATTAATAAATCTAGTAATGGTAAGCGTTCATCTTGTCGATATTTAACATCGAAAAACACATACATAATACAAGCAGCTAATGATAGTAAAAATGACGTAACACCGGTAAATACAAAAAATTCTGCTGATGGTTTTATTCCATTTGAATCTGATAATCGTTCTGAAGTATTTGTACCTGTTATTACAACATCACTTAAGGAATATGGATAAGACCAAGCGGCCGATAATTGCTCAGATGGCGTTGGCGCATTTATTATCAAACGTGATGCACCATTCACAGCTGTAGCGAACGCAAATATAGCAAAGATAAACTCTAATAACCGAATTAAACCACGTGGCTCTTTAAATACACCCCAATATGCCATCGTTTTTGCAGCACTAAATGTTGATTGCATCGATTTTATTCTCAGTGCAACGAGCAGTTATCTTAAGAAACAAAAAGTTTACTATTAATAGCGAAAAACTTTATTAGAATTTTCCTCTTTCAGAATATTCCTAAATTATCATTGAGAAAGCCTCATCTATCATAGTGGGACAGGGTTACCAAATGTCCCCCCTCTCCAACACAGTAGGTTTGTCTCTCGTAAAAATTCGTTTTTCTCAGTGCTGCTTACTTGAAAAATTTCTCTAAAATGGACATATGAGGAACTTCACTGATGTCTTTCATATGTTCCTCATTTCAGATAAATCTATCTTACACTGGAATTTTTACAGTTGGCAATTCTGTAGGGAGATGACGTTATTAGTCACGCTTATATGAAACGAATTTTCGTCAGTAGCAAACAATGAATTATGTCTGAAGCCATATACAAATATTTTTACTAAATAACTATGTGCCGTTTATAAATGAAACAATGTTACTGACGCAAAGAGAAAGAGAAAGAAAATAACGGCCACTGTTGAAATTGAGAGAAAAACGAATAAAAAACATGGCTTTTCTCAATTAAATGATCTATGAAAAAAGTTACATATATATCTATATGATATTCTTTCTTATCTTCAATGCCATTTTTTATAGATGATAATATGAAGACTCAGTCAAAAGGCTCGAGCAAACGTTAAACTTATCTTCATGATCACGTACGTCATTTTTGTCCATCTATTTGTATTTCTACTCAAACCTGATATCATCCTCAATGTCTAATTTTCAATCGGAATAACAATAAATTCTATCAGGAACACGAGAGAGAGAGAGAATATTAACAACAGACAAAAAAAAGAGCACAGTTCTATATATATATTATATGTTATATATTATATTTATAGACCGATAATCTGTTTCTTTAGAATAATGTCTGCGTAAAATAAATAGTCTAAGTTTTTTCTCAAAATCTTCCCTTGTGTCTTTCTCGTGTACGAAACGTACTCTCTTATAAATGCACGTGCACATGAATGACTCAGATTAATTCGAAAAAAAAACCACAAGTCCCAGACGTTCGAGCGTCCTAACTCTCCACTGGATCATCTGCAAAGACTGAAAGTAGTTTATTTATAAATTGAGACTCACAGTTCTCTATTCGCGTTTAAAATTTTACTGTACCTCTTCTAGTTCTTGAGAAAATCGTTACAGAAAATGATACTTTTTCGATCTAGAAAGGAAAGACGCACGACTCAGTTGATTACTATAATGCGATATTACTTGCACCGCATTAATAACTTATCGACTAAGTGGTACACAAATAGAAGATAAATTGACTTTTTTTCTAACTGAAATAAAACTAGATTAAGGAAAGAATGAAAATATTATTTCCTTATAATAAATAAATTTTAATAGAAAACCCAACCATCGTAGTGTGACAAAACTAACTCATCATATTCTCAAGAAAAAATTCTCAATGTTATTGAATGTTTTTATAATACCATAAAATAAAAGTTTTTTTTTTCCTCTTTAAAAATGTAACAAAAGAATATTAATTGAACATTTATTATAGTCTTTTATATACGTTGTATATTCAAAATATTTTGCTCAAGTAGATGGAAATAAATTTACCTGCCGCATGCTCATCATAATTTCAAAATATTTTGTCATTGAAAAAAACCGTCTTTCTAATCGAACAGAAATAGACAAACACAGGAAAGGAAGAAGGAAATACGACTACATATTTGTTTTCTTCTTCTTTTGTATTAATAGTCAACACCTTTCGATAGACGATATATAGATAGATTAGATATGTCCCTATAGACATTACAAGATGATGTTTGGGTTAAATAAAAGCGAGAGAGAGAGAGACCGACGAAAGAAGAAAGAAAAACTTGTTATTTGCCAATAATAATAAAGATAATACAACAATAAATATCGACGAAATGCAGATTCATTTAAAGAATGTTTAATAATGAGTGTTTTTCTCATTTTGTTTTAAGCAGAAAGTGATTAAATTACCTTATTTTATCTGAGTCATACTTGCATCAGCCAACAGTCGCAAAGCAATTAACATGCTAAAAAAACGCCGACCGAAGCTAAACAGAACATTTGGGATGTATGTTAAGACACTTAATTTCTCTTTACTGATGTATAATAAACATTCATTTTAGCGATTTAGTCTTGCAACTGGAAAGAGAAAAGAAAAGACCGAAACGATATTGTAATACGCTAATAAAATAATGAAATTTGATCTTGCAGAAAGCATATTTCTATTATTATACCTCTTAAAAATGAAATTCAAATTACTTTTGATAACATTGATGCTTATATTCATTCTAGGTCTGAAATAACTACTTTTTCTTTTTGTTTGTTCCACGTCAAAATGGTAACACGAACAAAGAACATAAAGAAAAAATTATTTTTTAACTTTAAAAACCATATATTAGTACTATAGAAAAACTTTCTTTTATTCACACCAAAAAGAAGCAGAACAGTTATATAAAAGCGTAAATATTCTCTTCTGTCGTTTTCTTTCTTCGTTAAAAATATGATAATCAGTCATTCAACATTGTAAAGTAAAGAGAGCAAAATAAAATGTTCTAGGAGGACTTTCTAGGTATATCTGATATGTCGGTTTTTTAATTGAAAATAAAACGATATTAAACAGAACGAAGAGGAATTTCACTAAATATAGAAAAAAAAAAGTTTACCACAATAAAGCTTCACTACTGAAATGAATAAAAATAAAACATACACTCTTCGCAGTAAGCTATCGCCATTTTCAATAGCAAATTTGCCATATATTTTTAAGAAGAATTTAAAACTAAGATAAGATTTGATGAATGCACGATGGAAAAAAATGAGATACACATGTCTGACATTTATTTTTGCAATTCGAGAAAACATTATACAGATAAAACGAATTGAGAAAAAAAAGCAATAAAATTTAAAATAGAGTAATTAGTGATGGTCCCTAACGTATTTTAGAATAAACCCGCAGGACTCGAACAAAGACCACTTATACAATATTCAAAACAGAGAAAAAGGATAGTAATGATTACACAACGGTTCATACTGTCATACTATAGATCAGTAGAAGATAAAAAATAAGAAATGATATTTAATTATTAATTATCGCCGATTAATTACAACCATTTTCGTACGATTTTCACTACATGGGTATGTTGCATACATTAAATTAAGCTTCAATGCAGACTAAATCACATGAATCATAATACTAGAATCGTATCAAATAAGATATCTGCTTCTTTTTTTCATCTCGCATATACATGCTGCGTCACAAGAGAAAAGAAAAAATGGACAGGAAAAAAGAGCGAATGATTTAAATATAAAAATCACTTTTGGATTAATATCACATCTAATCTTATCAACGAGGTGAAATTGAGATCTGAAACTTTATCAGTAAATAAAAATGAATTATCTAGAATATTTTTGTCACCAAAAATTTTTTCTATCATGTACTGAGTTTAGCAAAAACGAAATGATGTTTGAAATCATCACTTGTAATTTGGTTACGAAAAGTGCAACGGAAATTGTGAAGATATATATATCCATGACAGAAAAACACATTAAACCAAGTTAGAGAATAGAAAAACATATAGGTTATATAGTACACAATGTGATTCCACAATAATTTCATGTCGACATCGTTCTCTCTTTTTTTTTCTCATCACAACAGAAAGAAAGAGAAATGCGCAACATATTTGAGATGGCAGAAAGAAGCAGATATATCTCGTATTTGATACGGCTTTATTATATATATTTCAAAAAATACATCAATAGTAGAATGGGGGGAATATGTAGGACTCTAAGATGTAATTCAACTCAGAAATTAAATGTTAAAATTTTACAGGAATTTCGATACCTTGTGAATAAATAGTAGAAACGATTATTGGAAGGGCATTTTAGACTCACTTCTCATTTCAAACAGAGTTTGCAGATCAGAGTCGGTAGCGTACCATAAAAGTGGAGCCACTTTTACACAAACATCCAAGATACATCAGAAACAAGTTAGTAGTTGAACAATCAACAAAAATTTTATACTTTATTTACGTTGATTATTATAGTGATCTGTTCTTAGTTAGCTTTTTGTTTTTAAAACAAACCAGATTCGTCCATAAATTACACTTTTCCTACATTGGACTCACAGCTGGCACGTTAGGAAATAATATAAAATAGGGAAACCGAATCAAATGAACTGCTATTCCACTTAAAGCGTTTTCGTATAGAATTTCCAATTGCAAGGTAGCGAAATTTCAAGATTTTAAAAAGAAGTCAATGATCAGAGAACTTGTAGATAAAACAGACCTTGAATTGAAAAATTTTCCGCTATAATATTTAACCACATTTCAGGATTGAATTCAGAAATAGTCTAACTATGAATGACAGTAACGATACACGATGAAGATTTATGTATTTTACATAATGTCAATATCAAGTTTGGAATTCACGATTATTTTACCTACTATCGTCGTTTTTTATGCAAACATATTTACACTTGTCAGTTTCTGTATTCGATTTGAAAACATGTGATATTTGTCAGTGTCGTGGCGAGAGAAAACAACAAGAAACTTGTAAATCTTTGACCGAAAACTATGGAAGTAAGAATGATCATACTGATATTAATTTGAGCTGTTTTTCTTTTAGAAGGAAGAGTGGGACAAAGATTCTCAATTTTTTTGAAAAATAGGACACCTCCGTCGCATTCCCTCCTGTCGCTACGATATTGATCTTTAATCGAGAATGTAGCTAAGAATACATTAAATATGTTTTTTTTTCATTTCAATATCAGTTAGTAGCACTGCTGTCTGTTTTAGAGACTTTTGGTTTTAAGCTATAGAAACGTTAAAATTTGAACGGCAACCATTGGGTGAGAGCCTATTGTGAGTTGTTTTGCTGGAAAAACTGAGCTAGTTAATATTGAAATTCGGGCGTTGAAAAGAATGATAATGTGAAACAATATAGTGTCAAAATATAACAAATACACGTTCATATAAAATTATAGTATTTTGTTATACAATGCTATAAATCGGTTCGAAATGTTCAACCAGGAGATTTGTACAAAATATTCTGTTCTAATGTTCGTTCAATCTTATGTATTTTTGTTGTATTAAAGTAAATTTTGAACAGTACGTCTTTCCTTCGTTTGTTCATGCGAGAAATATCTACAGTTACGGATGGTTGTTCTGTTAGTGAATGTTGAGTTTGTTGTTTGTCTTTCAGATAAAACAACCTCATTCTCACTTCAACGTGCTTAAATGATGTCAATCAACAACAGGTCTTTCTCTTCTGATACTAGCAGCAAAAACTCATCAGCGATATATAATAGTGAACAATATTTATTTGAAATAGCTCAAACTTTTATTCAATCTCGAATTATGTTCTCAGCAATCAATTTAAAACTATTTCAATTATTATTCAATCATAAGGACACAGGACGAACTGTTCAGCAGATAGCTCAGGATTTAAACTTACATTGGATTGAGAATGAATCACGTGGGCTGTTAGATGTACTTGATGCATTATGTTCGATGAGTGTATTAAAACGGGAGCATTCTACATATAAACTAGCGTTGTTAGGTGAACGATATTTATTAAACGAAGACAAATATTTGAAATATTTTAACGTGATTGATCAGCAAATATATTCCCAATTTTCTAAATTAGATCAATTATTGACAACAGGTAAAGAGTGGTTTTCTCGTTTACTGTGTGATAAACATATCTCAGAAGTGAAATACTACAAAGCAAGACACATCGAGCACAAAAGAAGTCATAGGTTTTTTTACATGTTTTAATTTTAGGCACAATTGATCAGGATTGCTGTTCGTCCACGTCTTCATCTATAAAAGATGTGTTAGGATTTTTCAAGACAGAGAGAATAAAAAATGTTTTTGCTCAATTAGATTTATCGAAATATTCGACATTAGTTGATATAAGCGATGTGCCAAACAAAGATCTAATCGAACGTTTAGCAGTGAAATATAAAAGGCTGAAATGTTACATAGGCACTAACGAGAGCGATGAAAAAGTGGATTTAATCATCATTTGGAATTGGTCTTCTGTACAACAGAAAAAGTATAAGATCAAACAAGCGTACGAAATGTTAACAGATGAGAATGGATTATGCATGATTATAGAAGAAAGTAATGAAGACGATGTTACAAGTGAATTGCTGTTAGCGACGAGTTTACTAGCAGCAATGGAAAATAGTGTCGAAGAAGAGTGTGATTCAATGGATGCCTTTGGTTATTCCAAAATTGAACGGCAAAAAACGAACACATGCAATGTTGTTTTAGCCTATAAATAAGCCTCTATCGAGCGAGTGTTCAGAGCGGGTCAAAGTAAGAAAGCGTCTGACATTTTTCTTTGATACCGTTACTTAGCGCAAGAGAATGACTTTGCGTTTCTAACAATTAGTTGTGAAATCTCGAAAAAGTTTAATAGTACTTTAGTAGTAGTTTTTCTCTGGTGAAATGTCTTGTGACACACAGATAGCGTTAGACATGGTGATATTTATATTTCAGTGTTCTCTAGCTGAAAGCCAACTTGGTATTTGTCTGTTTTTCTAATTATTTGATACAACATTTTGTTTGTTAAGGTTTTATATAATTTGTGTACCCCATTTTTCTATGGACTTTTGTAGTTATTTGTTTTCTTAAAGATAATCGTGGTGATATGTCAAGTTGATAGTTTCAAGAACAAACACGCCAGCTATCATAGTCATACATTTGTCACTAGAAAGTGTACTCTCATCTAATAAACTCCTTGCTATCTTTGACGGTTATCAGAAGACACGCCGAGTGTAGTTGAAAGTGTTAGTCATCTGTTAGCAGAGATGTTGCGATCAGTTGCATTTAATGCTAGTTTAATAAAGTAATAGCGAAAACAAAAACATATGCACATTCATCACACGAGATTAGATGGGAAGAATAGATAACAATGGAAAAAGTTTGTTTTTTTCACTGTAAGAAATGAATGTGTTAGTTACACACATCCATATAGCGATTAATAAAAACGGTCCGCAAAAATAAAAGTAACAAGAAAATTATCCTATTAATAACCTAACGAAAGAGCGAATCAACCTTTAATAACGGCCACTGGTCGTAGTTTCACACATAATTTACTGATACCGGCTGCATGACAGGTTTCAACAACATCCGTCACATTTTTATATGAATCAGGTGCCTAAATAAAGAAAAATTAGTAACTCAGCCCGTGATATTTAAATCGTAAAATGATCATACTTCTTCTTGAACAAGTTTAGGTGATGCAACACGTATAGCAATGCCTTTTTCTCTTAAGTCATCAAGTACATCGTACCAATTTAGATTACGTCGAGATTTTGCACGAGATAATGCACGTCCCTGATAGAAAACACAAAGACAAAGTTAAAAAGAATACAAATCGATAGAAGTAGACTTACAGCTCCATGACATGTTGAACCAAATGTTTCACGCATTCCTGCGTCTGTTCCAGTTAACACATAACTACATGTACCCATTGTTCCTTTAAACAAAAAAATTGTTGATCAAATATTCTCTCAGCATTTGATCATTTTAAACATACCTCCAATAAGAACAGGTTGTCCAGTGAGTTGATAATCCACTGGTATGAGTGGATGATGTGGTGGAAATGCTCTTGTTGCTCCTTTTCGATGTACTAGTAATGTTTTTTGTCTTCCATCACCCATTACATGTTCTTCAATTTTCGCAATATTGTGTGAGACATCGTAGATTAAATGCATATCTAAATCATCCGGAGCAGTCTTGAATATTCGGGCAAATGCCTAAATAAAATATTCGAATAATAAACTATCAGTGCAACAGTTTCATCTATAGATAAATATACAATTTACTTGTCTAGCTAAAAATGTCATTGATGAACGGTTAACCCAAGCATAGTTTGCTGCTGCACACATTCCTTTTAGATAATCTTGTCCTTCCTCGGATTTAATTAAGGCACAAGCTAATTGACGATCATTTGTTAAGATATTATCACGCTTCATCGCTTTTTCCATAGCAACTAATGAATCTACACCCAAAATGCATTTAATTTTACGATCATATCAATAAAAATGCTGTTTAATAGACTAACCTGTAGCAACTTGATGTCCTAAACCTCGACTTCCGCAATGTATCATAACACACACTTGTCCTTTAAAATCAATGCCCATTTTTCCCGCAGCAAACTTATCGTAGATTTCGTCGACAACTTGTATTTCAGCATAATGATTTCCAGCGCCTAACGTTCCCAACTAGAAATAACAGATTATTTAATTGTACGCATAACACAATTAACAGAGAATATTGTTGACGAACTCGAAAATTCTAACAGTTAGCTATTTCTTTTGTTTTCTGATCTCATTTCTTTCGGATTATCAATTCTAAAGCTTTGCTCCGTGTAATAGTAGAATAAAGAAGCAACAGTAAATATCGATTATTTTCTTAAATGAAGCTCAGCGAAATTTCAGTATCGCAGCATGTTACTCATTTTCCATCTGATGAAGCTCAATATCTGTTTATATTCTGGATTTTTCAAACTGTTCTGCTACTTTTTTTAGCGGTCAAACAGGTATTATATTATAGTATTTTCTTCTGAGAACAGACTGTAACAATGAAAGAAATTTAAAAAGTTTCAGAAATTAGTTAGGATAAAAAATGATTTAAGTAGTGGACTTTATAGCGGAGAAAAAGCATTACAAAACAGGACTCATGTCATTTTTACTACTCAGTAGATCGATTCTTAAATACATACTTAAGTTGCAAAAAGGTATCTCAACTTAGCTGTCTATCATAGGTATCAGATATAAGGTACTGAACACTGCTAAAGTAGCCTAGTCAGTTTTGATTATAAATATAATATTGGTTTTGATTTTAAGTGGAAAATGGATGAAAAAAATTGATTTTTATTGAGATTAGGTTAAAAGTAGGAACCAAAAGAAAGATAAAAAGGGTTTTCAAGTAGGGGAGAAAAGTTTTTGGTGTTGTTTACAAAAAATCTATAGCCCACAATCTCTGACAGTTTTTAAGAACGAAACTGGAATGATAGTATTTCTAAAAAAAGTAAAAAAAGACTTTTTGACACCCATTCTCCAGCAGAACTGATCAACTTTCAAAACTTATATTTGCACAACGAAGTAATTTCTAACAAAATGAAAAATAAGTAATTGATGCAGTTCTTCACTACGCATCTAATCATATATCGTTTATCTCATTTCAAGTTCAATTTTCGCTAAAAACCGACGACATGAAATAGAGACACTTACTTGTGGAAGCCCCCGTTTTTTTGCTCGTTGGGATACTTTTGAGGGATCAGCTTGTAACATACGGCCGTATTCTTCACAATGTTCTTTATCTTCGGCCCACGAATAACCTAAAGAGAGTGTTAATTTCGACTTTACTGGAAAAAACGAGTTATTTGTCTACTTGCCTTCTCTCAATGACCAATCCATACCCATTTCAAGAGCTTCTTCAAGGTCTCTGAAAAACAAGAAATATAAATGGTTACGAGAATATAACCATAGTACTAGAGTTGAAAGATAATATATTACACTTATGCCAATCAGAAATCGAAGAATAAGAAGCTCCATCATTTTTCCACGAAGAGAAAGAGAATCAAGCAAAACGCAGCTAAAATCTGCTGAAACATTCTCTCGCTAGGAACTAGGATACATTCAATAACGTTGAAAAGACATTATGAATCATCGAATTATAAATATCAACTTGATTAAAAACGTTGACTAACTTGGCATTCATTGGTATAACACCTTTCGAACCAACGCCAACAGGGATATGATCAAACATACTTTGTGCTAATTGTTCTTTAACTGGTTGAACATCTTTCTCGGTTAAATTTGTTCTAAGTAAGCGTACACCGCAATTAATATCAAAACCAACACCACCTAAACAAAAAATACTTTGAAAACAACAGTATAATTTCAACTAGAAGACGAGAATAGTTCACTTCAATGCCATAAAGATCCAGTATTGTGACGTGTACACATCCTCGATTAAACTGGCTGTCACAATATTTTACACACGTGTTGACAATCGAACTCTTCCTAATAACCTCGATTACCTCACTCTTTTTGAACATATCCACCTGGAATAAATGTTTTCAGTCGATTTTTTAAATTTATTATATATATAGAAATATATTCTTAGAAAAGTAATTATATATTCTGAAAGCGCTCGGAATTTTCTATCACTCTGTATATTTATGTGTGTAAAAGTACAAAAAAAACAGTGTTTTCACCTTTGCAATCCTTTTTTACGGAAATAATAGCAGAAGAAAAAGATTCAAGTAGAAAAAAATACCAGATTTTCAAAGTTTTCATTTTTTTCGTCTTTCGTATAATCTGCCTAGTTTTCCTGATCGACGTTCTGAAATTAAAGTTTAGATATGATTTTCTAGAGTATTTCGCAGCGCATCTTCTTAAGAAAAAGATTAACCTTTGGGTTCTAAAGAAACACGAGAAAAATAAAAAATACCGAGAGGTCGCATTCATTCCTGAGAATGTGATAGGTGACATTTACAATATTCAAAATTTTTGCCAGCAAATAATTTTGAATTCAGGCTAGATAAGCAGAGACTAATAGAGGATTTCAAGCGCTACCAAAATATACAATTACTTTTCGAAAAATATATTTCTATGTATATAATAAAGTTAAAAACATTTATAACAGAAGGTGCAGCTCATGCAAAAATGAAGCAAATTTTTTTCTGAACTTATTGATACACCATTCGATAGAGTTTTTTGAGCCGATCACGAATGTGTAGTTTTCAATTTTTCGAAACATTGTTCTCATGTCGAAAAATCGAGAAAACTCGAAAAAATGATGATGTTTGCTAAAGTTAGATTTTTCGACTTGAGTTTTTCATTGGAACATTCAAATTATTTTTTTAAAAAAATAATGAATGAAATAATGGAATCAAAATACCATATTTGGAATCAGAATCAAAAAATGAATTGACTGATGTGTATTTTTAGATTTTTAGTTCATTTTTGGCGAAAATCTCGATTTCCCAACTTGAAAGTTCGAAAAAAATCAACGTACTCGGATAAGATAGAGATCCACATCAGTAGATTTATTTTTTGATCCTGATTCTAAATATGGTATTTTTATTCCGTAGAAGTTGAGTTCTGTTGGAGAAAATTGAGAAATACGAGAAGAATTCCGACTTTTTCGCCCTTTATTTAGAAAAAATGAATTTTCTCAGCAACGACTTAAAATTCAAAAAAAAGCGAACTTTTCAACGCTAAATAAGAAAAAAATAATTTGAATGTTTCGACGGAAAACTCAAGTCGAAAAATCTAACTTTAGTGAACATCATCGTTTTTTCGAATTTTAGTGCGGTTCGAGTTTTCTCGATTTTTCGACATGAGAAAAATTGAAAACTACACATTCGTGATCGGCTCAAAAAACTCTATCGAAGGGTGTATCAATAAGTCCAGAAAAAAAAATTGCTTCATTTCTGCATAAGCTGCACCTTAATTTGTTTATTTTCCACTTACTGACCTGGAGAAACAATAGCTTTTGGATCGTTATAATCAAATGCAGCCATATTTCCAATGGCAAAACCATATCCAGAATGTACATCGGGCAAACCAACGGAACGCTAAAACACAGATGAATAACGAAATGTGACAATTGACGAATATCATTGTCTTTGAATGCTATAGTTACATATTGAACCTTTGTCCAATTTCTCGTATGTATACTTACTCCCACAATTCCCGGCAATGCGGCCACGTTTGCAATTTGTTTCATTCCAGGTAAAAATCCTCCCACACCACCATATTTCGATGACATTTGTAATTCTTCAAACATTAATTTTTCTAAAGGAGCATTAACGTAAAATATTCCTTCCACCTAAAACAAAAATGTCGTAGAACATGTCTTAACACAAGGATATTTCCGTGAAATTCGAAACAACATTTTAGCCTTTTTTGCAGGCATCGTTAAAATTGGAAAGAAAAAACGAAAGATCAACTTTAGATGCTGCATTTGACTCATCATATCTACTAACAAAAGAATTATTTGAATAGATTTTTAAATAAGAATATAAAATTCCAGCTGATGGTGTAGAGTTTTTGTATCCTCTGCCTGTTTGACACCGTTTCTCTCGAAAATCTTTAATTAACACGAGTCCTTGTAGTCTTTCCCATAATCTAGACCACCAGCGTCAGCAAATACCGGAATGACTTCGATCCTAATGAGACTGGAAACACATCATTTCAGCAAAACTTGCGCGAGTAATATCACCTGTTCAGTCCTACCAGTTTCGGATGAGAATAACTTCAGTTTGTGCAACTGTAGTACAGCCTTTGCGGAAATATCTAACAACAGTTTTGAAAGCCGTACTTACATTCATATTTGGAACGAAACCTTTCTTTATCTTCCAACAATGTGAGTTTATTCTTTCGATAAAACCCAACTCTTCATCGTAAGTTCGTGGCATTATTTGCTGTCGATTTACAAATAATCTAAAATGAATTAACGCAGTGATGATACTAGGAAATCATAACCCATGTCTTCAATGTTGTTTAAAAATCGGTGATTATCGCGCTTTTCTGAAGAGTCGCCGTTTAACCGCAATATCTCAGCGACTGTTTTGTATATCGCGATTAAACGTTGATAATTTTGCAAGTCGCGATTCCTCAAAACATCGCTGACTAATCGCAATTAGTTGCCAATTTTTGGTTTTCTAGTCATTCACCGTTTTATTTTGCATTTGGCCAAGTATATAATAAATATGAATTTCGACAGCAATTATGTCTTTTGTTTAATCTTTTCTTCTAAATTAATTTTTTTTGCGAGGCACCCAGAGTATTCTTCGTGATCTTCTCGGAGATGACTCGTTATTTTGATACGGACAAGCTTTTGAATCGAGGGATCCGATGAACAACTGAAGTTCTGGGCCGTGTCTCAAACCGATTAATCAGATGAAGAAGGTCCGAGTAGTGGGCACTATCATAAGAAAGTCAATAAACTGCAAAATAAGGAAGAAAAGCAAAAAAAGAAATTTCTCATAGGTGAATTCGATTCTAGCATCTCCTTTCTATAAAAAAGTCATGCGATGAGTTGCGATTAAACGCCAAAAGTTGCAAAAATATCGCCGACTGATTGCGACAAAGTATCGTAACGATCGAACGCCAAGTCACGTAAAAGTCGTCAATTTTTAAGCGATCAATACCACATGGAGACCGTATCATAAAAATCTTAAGTCTGACTTAAGCCATAATTTGGACTTAAGTCTTCGTCATGTGCACTTTCATGCTAATTTTATACACTTAAGTCTGACTTAACTCTAGACTTTGACTTAAGTTTTTTTGTGATACGACCCTACGGAGAAGATAAAAAACGATGAATAGTTTTTACTTTTAGTTAAGATAAACGGAAATACAGCGATTAGTACATGTCGTAAGGAGTATGAGAGTGGGCCATACTTCGATTATGATGCTTTTCTAGTCAAAGACACACTTGTATTACGCAATTCAGCTGAGCTATATTATATTGTATATGATAATGACATTAAATGGACCACTTTTTATGCAGTGTATTATTGGAGTCTAGCAGCAACAATGAAATTTGTGCAATAGTATCTCTAACTTTTTGAACGATTTAAACCTTTATACTCTTCTGTAGTTTTTGTGGTTAATCATTATTTTGCAAGAAGTTTCCGCTTAGTAAGAAACAAATTTCCTCATCGAAGAGGACTTACATCAGATTTTTAGAGGTTTACGAATAATATCCAATAACGTGCAGCAGATAACTGTCAACAGCTGCACATGGTATATTTGAACATTAAGATTTTTTTCATTCAAAGAAATAATTGATTGTATCCTATTCTGGTTTAGCAACGTGACAAATTTCAACCTTATGTTAGTATAATGCGAAAATGCGAATAGAATAGATGCATAGGCTCCCATAAATAGATTCTCTCATGCAGACAAGTGAAGTGCATTAAAGTGTCCTATATTTGTTAAGTATACTCAAAAGAAACTATAAGTCATTCAAAATTTTTAATTTCCTTTTTTGTAGTCACGTTTGAGCCTTTTCTATATTCTCCTTAATTAAACCTAGAAATTAAAATAGAAAATAAGCAAATTACTTAAACTATAGTTCATGAGTGAAAATTCGTGAGAAAATGCTTTTTCTTATCTGCTTATCTCATAACAATATAAAACTTTTCAGTGGAGTTTTGCAGTCAATGATTATTAAAATTTACAAATTTAAGTTCGTTGTGATTTTTCGTATCAATTTTTTTTGTGTATTATGAAACTGTTTAATTATAAATTTGACCGAACCATTTCAGGCCCGTAGCCAGGATTTTTGCGAAGGGTAGATCGACTTTTTTGCCTTCAGAGATAGTGTGAAGTCTTATCAACTAGCAATTTTTTCTGACGAGATTCAGTGAAAAAAAATCATTTTTTCAAAAGTCAAGTGAGGACCGGTACCCCAGTCCCCCCTGGCTACGGCTCTGAACCGTTTTTATTATTCTTGCTTGCACACGTTGTTGAATTTGTTGACCTGAACCCTTACAATAAACATCTTTTCAAGCTCTCTGAAAGCGAAATACTTTTGTGTGAATGTTTAGTCGGTGTCTTAGTTGAATTGTTCAGTAATTTTGCCAGTTATAAAAAAAGTGTCTATTCATGTTTAGATCTAAAATCATTCTCGATGACTTCAAATTATGCCACCATAACAACGTCTGATGTTCAAACATTACAAACGGATGAAAAATCATTGATTGATTCAATTACATGTTCAATTTGTTTAGATTTGTATGAAACACCAAAACAACTGGAATCATGTCCACATATATTTTGTTTTCAATGTTTAAAAGCGTATGTCGAATCAGCAAGAGGTGGTGCAGTCTTATGTCCCTTGTGTAGAATTAAAATCGAATTACCAAATAATAATATTCATTTATTGCAAAATGCCGTTATTCAACAAAATCTTGCGGACTATATCAAATTACAACGAAGATCTACAAATGAAAATAAAGGTAAGCAGAACATTAACGATGATCCATGGAAAATAGATCAGTTTGTATTCTGAGTATAATCTTAATACCTTTTCATTAAAACCGCTGTATCATCATCATTATTCAGTCTTTCAAAAATCTGCATTAACCGATAAAGTAATGTACGAATGTCAGTGATAAAGTAATTTCAGTTGCTTTTTTTATGTACGTTTTTATAATTAACATGTTGTTTCTCTGCAAACGAGCTGCGTCATTTCAAAAGTGATTTTATTGTACTGATCATATCAAAACACGTTCCTATGATTTAAAGAAATTTAGCAACTCTTTTGTGAAAATATAAGAGAAAAAAGTCGGGATAAACTATCCATATATTCTGTGATTCTTAGAGAGATCAGTTTCTGCTAAAATTTGAGCGAACAAGGATATAGTGATAGTTTATGAGAAACCTGTTATATACCATTCGAAAGCCCATTGCCAGATGTATGAGAAGGAATGTTATATAACTTCAAAAGGGAAATTTTCAAAACTTTAATGTAATGTAAGATGGTGCGTTCTTTTTTTTCGGTGGAAAGTAGTATGAATTTAAGAAAAATTCTCATCCTAGTAGTATGAAAATAATTTTTTGCAGATTATTTCAAAGTTAAAAAGGCATCCTTTGTGAAAATAGTCAAACCAGACAGGCTGAATGGATCAAGATTATACTCACAATTAAAAGTGACTCATTTTCACTGCATCACCTGATATAACAAGATATTTGTACGATCTCGAAGAATCAGTTCCTATTTTCTAGACTTTTAGACTCAGTTTACGTCACTATATAAAAATGATATGAATACACTGTTAAAATGATTATATAAGTGTATAGCAGTAGGAAATTCAAACTATTTTGTGCACTGTTACACTGTTACCTTTTTTTTTTGTTCTATATTCTTTAGGTCAATGTTCATTATGTAACGAGCAAGATGTTTCCTTATATGGTCGTTGTTTTCAATGTTGTGAGAATTATTGTTCAAAATGTTATTATTATCATTCACATTTATGTCCAAGTCATATTCATAGAACATTTTCACAAATTGAATTTTTACAACCCAAACAATTGTTACCTCATCTATCACAAAATTGTTCACATCATCCATCGCGTTTACTCGAATATTATTGTGTACAGTGTTCAATATTCTTATGTACCGAGTGTATTACAGCCAAAAATAAAAGAGATATACATCCAAAGTATACAAGAATATGTGTAAAATATGATTATGTACAACTGTTACCTAATCTAGCCAATGGTAAATATTAGTTAAATACAAATAAATTTTTAAACATAGAAATTCATTAAACAGTAAAGAGAGTGCCCATTATGTGTTGATCAGTGAAATTGAAGTCTGAAGTAAATCGTTTTCTATTTACTTTAGATAACTTTTAGTTTTATCTATGTTTAGAATATCGTCAAAAATTAAAACGATCAAAATTGAATAAATTAAAACCATTATTAAATGAACTTGAACTAGGACGAGAAAAAGATTTGAAGGAAATTTTGAATTGTGATGAAATACGTTTAAAAAAATATGAAAAATATTTATCTAAACAATTTAATAAAGCTCAATATTTAAATCAAATGATTGATATTTTATGTAATTATGCACACGATGTCTACGTTATTAAATATAAGAAACATTTAGATGAACAATTAAAAAATTTTATTAGAGAAAGACCATCAAGACCAGCTGGATATAGATTAAATGGACTGTACTTTGAATTAGTAGAACAACCACAAATATCACGTAAGTAAATTTGTAATGGTCATTCTCATTTTATGCCTGTAGTGGAATAGTTGAGTTACTTCTCCCTTCCAAACAATTTGTTTTGAGAAAAATGATTTATTAGTAAAACTTCTTTTCTAAAATTCGTTTGTTTTAGATTTATTTGATAATTATGGAAGACAATTTAAACAAATACTTCCATTTGAAATTCTATCAACAATCAATGATCCTGTACCAAAAAATGTTGAATATGTATACGTTGATTTTTTTGAATCTCAACCTGTTATTGGTTATCAATTACCTCATGATCAATCTGATTCAACTTTTATTCGTTTATTTGGTTCTATTTTAACATCAATCAACAAATCAATATTAAACACTGTTTATCTTTATTCGTTTGATGATAAAAAATTTCATAAACAAGATACAACACAAAAAATATTTAATTTTCCTCGAGTATATGATCTTGAACTAAAACGACATCCACAACAAGTTGGTGATGATTATTCATATTATCTAGATGATAAAATCTGTATACACTATGAGAAAAAACAAGATATGTTAACATTAAAATATTTAAGTCACGATGCAGATAATACTGATGATAATGATGAAACTAATGTGTTAACAACATTTTTCTACTCTGACGTAGTGCCAACGGTAACAATGAAAAAATTTATGCAAGTTCAAGTATCATCTATTCATGTTAGACGTAAGTATGACCCTTTTATTTATCAAATAGAAATAAGACCTTTTGTCTGTTTTATTTTTTAGCTCTTCGAAGTTCTCATAGTCTTAAACAATTCATATTTGTTGGTTTGACAACATTTTCAAAACAACTTGTGTGTCATTCATATGATGAACATTTACTATTAGTACAAAAATATGAAACAAAACGTGCTGATAGTTATGATTTTAAACGTATTTTAGATGTTGTTATTGTTGATAATGATGATGATGAAGAAGAAGAACAACAAATTTATGTTTGTTTAGAAAAATATGATTATGATAAACAAACAACATCTTTGTTTATGTGGATGTCAAAATGTGATTTTATTGAAGAAATTGATTTTAATCAATTAAAATTACAACGAATGGAAATTGATCGTTTACGTATGGATAAAGATTTAAATATGTTAATTGCTTATAAGAATATACAAGATCGAACAATCACTCAATTTGCCATGTCAAAGTATCTACACCAATAATCATTCATTAGTTGATATTGTAACAGATGTTGTTTGTAAATCTTCCATCTTTTTTATTTTTCTGTTAGAAAAACTTTTAGTGATGCAATGAAAAGAGTCTTTTGTTTTTGTTGTGTTTAGTTTTTATTGATCTGAAAATCTCTTGTATTAATCTAATTTTACATTTAGTCCTAGTCTAGTGAACGTGTATCACACCGTACAGAAAAATGATAACAACAATAATACGTGTGAGTAGAAAACTGATCGAAGGCGACGGCTGAGTGTATTTTTTTCTAATTTTTCTTCGTCTTTCTGCTAAGTGTAATTCTTTATGTTGTTAAATTGATGAACAGAATTTAATGTCAGTAATATACAACGCTTTTTGAAATTATCTTGTAAAAGTTATAAAAATGTTTTTTCTTCGTAAATAGCTGGTATATTCATCTACTTTCGTGGCTTAAACACAATACTTTTTCTTATGTTTGTAAAATCTAATTTCTTTTCTCAAATAATTGGTGTTGTATCTAGAATGTGGTATTCATCTTTTTGTATTAATTTCTTTTTTTTGAAATATCCTTATTCATCAAAAAAAACGTTATTTTTTTTTCGAAGTTGATATAACTCTTGGTTTGAAGAAAGGTATAATTTTATTTTCAACTAACAGTGCTTAACACAGACAGTAAAATACAATCACTATTAGTATTGTGTTGAACAATCAACTTTTTTCTCCTTCGTTTGTAAAAAGCAGAATTTTACTTATAACTTTATTTTATTTATTTATTTATTTTGCTTGTTTGTTGTACAAATGTTGAGCGATCGTTTTTTGTTGCGATATTAAAACATATCTTTTTTTCTCTCGTTTTCTCGAGAAAAAATAGTAAATATATAAGCAGAACTTGATGGATTTTCAGTATTCTACCTTGTTTTTGTTGTTTTGTAACCGTTGCCATAAATAAGCTTTTTGTCTTTTTTCTGTTCTATTTATTTAAATAAACCAACTGTTGTTGTATGAAACAACTTTTTTTCCGTGGAAAACGTTGATACAAAAAATAGATATTTTAGTTATACAAGTGGTGTATTGGAAACATGGAACATCAACATGTTAAGAACAACAGGATTTTAGTGTCACTTTTCTTGTTCTAACATTACTAGTGATGTTGTAAGTAATGGATGTCTTTCATGGAATATATTCCAGTAGCTGTTGGGTTTTGTTAAACGAATAAATCATGGCTACTGTAGAACTTTGAACTAAAGGTTTAGGAATATAATTTGTTGTTTACGAATATCAGTCCTTTTTCTTATTTGGTAAGTAATGATCAAATTTGACATATATGCTTACGAGGGAAGTTTTACAAATATCTTCTCGATTTGTCTTTGAAACAAACAAATAAAGGATAATTTTGATGCTGAACACGAATCTATTATCCGCTCATTTATACATCTTTTCACAACTTTTGTTCAAATTCAGAATTTCTAGAACAACAAATTTTTGTCAGAACAAATTTCATTACTATCGGATTCAATTGTAAAGCATACCAATTTACATACGTGGACAAGTTATTGAAACTAATGAACTTATTTTCATCGAATTATAAAAAGTTCAGTTTGTTATTCTACCAGGGTTTTATTCTGATGAAAAAATTGTAACTTGGAAAGTTGCTGGTACGTATGAGCTCGGTGCCCTAGAAATATTATTTTCTGGAGAGATTCTTGAATGTAGTATTTGGATTCATACTACTTTTGTATAAAAATTAAATCTGAGCGAAATTTTCTTAGATAAGGTAAAAAATAAATTTAAGACAATTTTTCCAAATTATTAGTGCTCAGACCCTAAAATGACGTTGAATGATCATCATCACAGAGGAATAACTAAAAAAGACGTGATTAGTCACATTTTTCTCAGAGAAATTTTAGAAATTGCTCGTAGAAGTTTTGGCGTGTTTTGTACTTCAGTTCTCATGTCAGCCTAAAAATAATGTATAGACTCACGTGTGCTCATAAATTTGTTAGAAATTATGTTTTTTCGAAAAATATGCGATTTCTAATACCAGTGAACTAAATGAATTATAATATTCGTTGATGTTAAACAGATAAAGAATGAATTCGTAAAAGTCATTTGATAAACTTTTAATTATTGATGCATCATAACTGGAAAAAGCATTCTTAAAAAGCGTGTTCAAAGGAAACAAAATAACAAATTTATGAGCACACGTGAGTCTATACATTATTTTTAGGCTGACATGAGAACTGAGGTACAAAATACGCCAAAACTTCTACGAGCAATTTCTAAAATTTCTCTGAGATAAATGTGACTAATCACGTCTTTTTTAGTTATTCCTCTGTGATGATGATCATTCAACGTCATTTTAGGGTCTGAGCACTAATAATTTGGAAAAATTGTCTTAATTTATTTTTTATCTTATCTAAGAAAAACTCGAAAATTTTTTCACTCAGATTTAACCTTTAAATGAATAGAATGATGCAGAGAGCCATTGTAGTACATAAAATCCAATTAGGTACCAAAAACTACTGTTTTTCTCGGATCAACGTCACTTTCCAAATACATCGATTAGATATCATTGCAAGAAAAAATATCTCCATATTTGGAGGATGAATTTCTTTGAACTTTGTCTGTTTTAAAAAGTTTTTCGAACATGTCACTTCTATCGTCTTTTCTCTATTTTAGATATACAGATAGATTTTATAATGTTGAAGACACCTCGCAAACAAGCGGTTAGTTTGCTAAAAGTAAGTGTTCAATATTATAAACATTGATCTTGACTTTGATATTTCTTTAATGTTCTCTTTTCTATGATCAAAATAACAATATCGATTTAAGACGTCAAAAAAATCTCGAAGAAAATCGACGATTTTTGGATAGTTTAAAAATAAAAAAGGTTCGTGAAAAAAAATTTCCCACTAATTTTTATCTCTAACTTAGTATTTGAATTTTAGGTTCATGATGAAATTAAAACATTGACAAACGAAAATATGATACTACAACCAATTAAGAAAGAACGAAACAACAAACAAATTGAATCGTGAGTTACAGAAAATCTATTATCGGTTATCATCATCTTTCTAAGATTTGGGATCATTTTAGGAATCTGTCTGGTGAAATTCGTCGAAGTTCGAGAGTACGAAAACTGTATCCAGAAATGCCTTCATATACTATAGATGCTGATACACCCGAAAAACCGAAACAACAACGTCGAAGAATGATAAAATCGACAAAAGATCCAGATGGTGATAATTCAGCAACGTTTCGTCTGTGGTTTCCAAGAACGGTAAGCTTATTCTGACACTGATCTGTTTAGATTATTTCTGCGTTAATTGCTAATCCAAATTTCAACATTAAGTGTAAGTTTACGTTATTAGTTTAAATTTGTTAGATTAATACATTAATATTAATGCATCGGTAAACATTGACCGATACCTAGTTTCATTGTGTAAAGTTTCTACAATATATCATTAATCTTGTTTCCTTTTGTTTTTGCGACTAGAATGATGATGAGCGACGTCATGGAATAGAAACAAGAAATAAAGGTCATAAAGTTGTTTTGTATAATCCAAAGGTAGTAAGAATAATTTGCTCATTTGTCTGTTGAATTAACTTCTGTCTTTTCTTCTAGACAAAGTGGAATGGAGACGATAAGGAAATGACTGATAAGAAAACTATTGATGCCAATTAGTTATGTTATGCATGTGTTTTCTTACTGATATGATAAACATATGAGTATTGTGAATATGACTCATGCAAACGTCTGATATTAATCGTTTTCATATCTCTGTAAATAATGTTCTATTTTTTTACTTTGTGTTATTGACTACTAGTATAAAGTAGTCTTAAACGTTTTTTTGTTAATATGTTGTACTTGAATTAGGAAAATTTTATAATGAGAGCTTAATTATACATAATCTAGAAAGAAACTTGACTTTTTTTGCTTCAAAATTTGATTTGAACTTCTTAATTGTAAAGTTTAATACTAATTTTTATTCAAACATTTTTGCTCAAATCATCGCATTGGTATGTTAAATCTGAAGACAGCATACTAAAGTTTGAATTTGTGTATACAAAGTTTACAACTTGAATGAAAATTAATATTTTAAAATAACGTAGGTCAGAGTTAGTAATTGCTCTTCTGGTTGGTCAGATAAAATCTACGCTTTGAGTTTTCATCGATGTTTCTAAGAAATAATCTTCATTCACATTTAGAATACCTATGAACATCTCATTTAATTAAAAGTTCAAGTTTAGTTAGCAACTATTTCTGTGTTTGAGAATCCTGAAAGTTGCTTGACAGACCAACAAATTTCTTAACATCTCATTCTTCCGCTTTCCCACTCTACTCTGTTACACAGTGATCTTGTTTTGTATGAGCCATTCTAATGATATTAGAAAACTCTGAGACGGCAATAAGTGATAAACTCAAAAAGTGCTCTTGCACTGTGGTAAATTCTAATTTTAACCAATATGAGGGTTATTTTCGATGCTAATCGTGTATTTGATCTTCACTGGTGTTCATATGGCTTTTGAGAATCGTTCTTTGGGAATTGCGTTTTTAGACACAATTCTTTAACACATTTAGAGACAACCAGACTGTAGTGCGCGATGAGTTGCGTGGAAAATTTTCAGGCATAGTAAACATTGTTCAGCGGAGGTAAAAAAAGATTCGTCATATTCCACTAAGAAGTCAGCTTTTCTGTTTTTTCCTTACTTCAGAAGTTTCTAGCACTGCGAAACAATATTCGTTAGATCTAACAATTTTTCGACGTAGGTAACTCGATGTACTCTACAATCTGGTTGTCTCTAAAGGTGCCAAAGAGAAATATGGTGGATCTCGAGAGGCCAGATTTTCATGACTTCTATTTTCCTACATGTGACGAATAAAATTGTTTAATAATTTCACTTATTTCTTTTATATCAACTTTTGTTCTTCTTAAGTTCGTTTGGAATTCATGGAGGGGCATTTCACAGTTTTAGAAAGTCCTTATTTCTTCTCTTATAAACATAATCGAGAGCTAGAATGCAAATCAGAGTTGTAACCGGGCCGGGCCGGTGCAAAAGTTTAGACCGGTCGGTCTGCACCAGTCTTCTGCTGGTCTAGAAAGATGTTCAAACCGACCGGTGATTGACCGGTTTTTTGCCGGTTCTGAAATTCTTAGCATTTTTCTCTTCTTCACGAAAAAAATGCATTTTTCTACCCTCTTGTCCGTCTAGAAAATATTTGAAAGCTGGCCGGTTTTCACCGATCTAAAACAAAAAATCGGCTGTAAATAGATCGAGTAGAGATGAAACAACTCATAATTTTAGAATGTGTTTTAGATATTTCTGTTCTTTTTCTTTCTTTTTTTCGTCTTGTTGTTACTCCTACCAAAAATCGGCCGTTCTTTTGTCATTTTTTAACTAGTCTAGAGAATTATTGAAAATCGGTAGATCTTTTACCGGTTTTTCACCGGTCTAAACCGATTTTTGGACCGGCCGGTCAGCTCCCTTTCGCTGTTTTGGGCCGACCGACCCGGTCCGGCCTCTTATTTCTAGACCGGTTACAACTCTGATGCAAATATGGTAGCACGAATATTACAACGGGAACGCTTGATGCAAGAAGTGTAGTCCACTACACTGTAAAGTTGGAAATTATTTATGGAAAATCCTCGGCGAATTTCAACGAGTACCTATGGGAATTCCCCGAGGAATGTCTAGTTTATAGAAAATCGAATTTCCAACAAGCTAGAAAATCTTCGTTGAATTTCCATAAATAATTTTCAAGAAAGTAGAAATATCCTTTTGATTTTGTATAAACTGGAAATTCTGCACCCAGTGGCGGAGCGACCAGGTTGTATGGGGATTGACCCCGCTCATGCTTTTGAGAAAGTTCTGGTGAACATCTCCGATTTTCGGACCTTGCTACCAAAACTTCGCGCCACCGTTGTCTCTGCCTAAATCAAAACTCTTGCTGGCATAGGCAGAATTGTGATCTGAAGTAGAAACTGTCAAAGTTGATCTAAGTGTAATATGAGTGTCTTTACGTGACGCTCTTATACCTACACTGATTGCAAAACAAAAAGATGAATAAGTATTTGATCTAGAAATTCCTGGGCGAATTTGCACTTTCTAGAAAATCGCCGAGGATTTTCTAGTTTATAGAAATCCTCAGCGATTCTCCACCTTTATAGAAAATCAAGTCGATTTTCTATAAAGCAGAAAATCAACATTTTCTAGAAAGCTGGAAATTCGTCGAGGAATTTCTATAAACTAGAAAATCCCCGGCGATTTTTCGGTCGATTTTCTATAAACTGGAAATTAATTCAAGATTATAGTGTATAACACATGAACACCTATACGCTAAAATATGTTTAACTGTGCCGGTAGAAAATGAGTGTCTGTAGAACAAACAGAACGAACTGGTACACTCTTTTTTAGGTTTAATGTGACATATTGTTCCTCGCGAGATGTATCGATTTTATTATAAGAAGCTGCTGTTCGAATCTTCAATTAGTACTTCAGAATGTCTCATATTTCCCTTATAAAGTGCTCAGAAACTAGCGAAAAAGAGAAGTTCCATATTAAGATGTTGAGCTTCTTATACAGAAAGGTATCCTCCACAAAATATAGCTTTATCAATTTTAAAAAATATTCAAGTCATACTTTCTTCATGCTGGTTGACCGAGTTAAATTACAGCATCTATTAATTCTATTCATCAGTCGATACTGTGAATTTATGGATGTCTCCATTTGACCTTGTTGACAATCGGTCAATTTTCATGAAAACCAAGATATTGTTATATATATAGTAAATATTAGACTTGGTAACAACTCGACGTGCCTTTCACAAAAGAAGCGATCATTTATCTTATAATTTTGTTGGTATTGAAAATGGAGTATCAAATGGTAAAGATGAGTTATATTTGTGCCCATACAGTGAACATTGGCTTCTATCTTGAGCAACATCAGGAAGAGAGAGAAAAAACACCAGGCACTTTTCATAATAACTGCGTTATAATGAGAGTACTTTTAGTTTAAATCGAATAATAAATCAACAATCTTTTCTTATCTCGTTTTCAAAAGTGTTGTCCACTAACGCTTAAAATATTTATTTCATTCCTCTCTCACCGAAAGAATGCGCGCGGATGTTTTATCGTTTTTAGCCCCAATTTTATCACATGAATGCTTGTGTAGGAAAAAACTTGTTTTATTTAAGTTTAATCGTTGATGCTATGCTGACGTGAAAAGTGTCAAATATTAACTATGTTATTCTATCAACTTTTAGCTCTAAGCTACACAATTTATCATCAGTAGACGTTCTCGGCAAAAAAAATTGTCATTTCCTTCATAGAAGCTGCTTATTCTTCTCTTTTCCTAATGCAGAACCCTTAAAACTTGCTTATTACCATTTTGTTGTAGAATAAAAGTAGGAGCGGTCCCCACTACTCCAACGTTCTATCAGTACATGTCATATGTAGTAAGCTTTCACTACATAACACAACATGAAAGAGAAGAGAAAAAATTGCTCTGTTTTGTATATACGCATTTCTCTTCAGAGCACACGTTCGATCACGTGTAGTTAGATATTTCTGTTCTTTTTCTTTCTTTTTTTCGTCTTGTTGTTACTCCTACCAAGAAACAATTCGTTATTGCATTCACGCAGTCTTTGCTCAACAATCAGTCGTTTCCTCTTTACTGAATAATCTACTATTGTCTATTCGTTTAATCATGTCAAAAGCAAAAGAAAATTCTTCAACTTCGGAAAAAGGTGAAGGCAATCAAACAAAAGATGCTGCCGAGAATCGTGACAACACTACCGAAAATCAAGGTAATGAAACGGGACAAAAGGCCGACACAAGTGATCAGTCGAGTGATCAAAGTGGCAGTGCAGACGCAAATACCAGTGGGAATGAACCGGCAACGAGTTCAGGTCCAAAAACAGGTGTCGAAGCATGGGTACAGGCGGGCGACGCAGGAAACTTGGGCTCTGCTAAAACTGGACTCGAACAATACTTCAATAAGTAACAAATCACTTTTATTTTCCAACTACATACGAACTATTTTATGACCTTTAAACAAGTGTTAACTTTTTTCCTCATTCTGTATATTCTTAAGTGTTTATAATAAACATGTAGCTTCGATATTTCATAAAAATACAATCTATAAAACCTCCTTTCAAAAACAAAACAAAAAAACAGACAAACACAACCAAAATCCGCCATCAACTTCTCAACATATTCCGGGCCACACACCGGAGTGGAGAAAAACTACCACAGACTAAACACTATACAAACGCGAACATCTGTAGCAGCTTTAAAAAATTAGATGTACAACTTCTTCAGATTCCGTGTTTACAACTCCAACAATTTCTTATTTTATTCAGAATCTATTCACGAAACACTTTTTGACCTGGAA